AATGATTGATAATCACATGAGTTGTGGGATGACATCAAGGAGATCCATGAGGAGAGCAAAAGGTCACCACAAGAGGAGAAAGAAAAAAAATAAAAATAAATGTCAGAAGAGACTTAGAAAATTGTTCTAGAGTGTCAAAGTTCTAAACAGACAATTTCAAAGGGAAGCTCAAGAAGACAAAGCAAATATTATAATGGAATGGTCAAAGAGCTGGAATTAGGGAATAAAAAGGGAAAAAAAATCACTTGGCATTTCTCAAGTTCCAAGAACTGAAAAACAAATTCAAGCCTTGAGTTGGAATACTGAGAGATGCTATGGACAAAATATTGGATGATCCAGGAAGATTAAAAGAAGAGAGTATAATTGGTTGACACTGAAATGTTTCAGGAAGTACCATAAGAGCAAGAGTCAGTGTTGAAGGAAAAAGTCAAGCTGCACAGACAGCACCGACAAAAAAATAAGGCCACAGAATCAATGGGATACCAATTGACATGTTTCAAACAGTAGATGCAGCCCTGGACAGTCTGTGCTCAGAAATTTGAAAGACAGCTACCTGACCAACTAACTGGAAGAAATCCCTATTTGTTCCCATTCCCCAAAACAGGTGATCCAACAGAATGTGGAAATTATCAAACAGTATCCTTAACATTATATATGTAAAAAAGATCTAGAGCAGAGTGGGGACAGCATATCTGATCTTTACCAACTCCGCAAAGGGGACCTGTCTCTGTCAACAACACACAACCAATTCCCACGAGGTCATTTATGTTCCCCACGCTCCCTTACCTCTTTTTAATCATCCCAACACCAATCTCACTACTCTGCTAGGTCCAAAATCCAATGTAATGGCTCACAGATCACACAGAATGACATTAGGGAAATAAAAAGGGTATAATTCAGGTTGGCAGCAAAATACAATCATTCAGTCAGTACAGCTTCCCGAATGTGCTCACAGGGGCCTCAGCCTTGTGCCTCACAGCTTTAGGCCAGTGTTACAAAGCTCTCAGTCCTGTCTATTACGGCTTACTCCACCACCCCTTCCTTCCCTCTGCCCCACAATTGTCCAATAAACATGCACAAAGGCTCCTTTTTAGTTCTGGTAATAGCTTAAAGTTCCACTCTGTCTCACATCAGGCCTCTTGTTCTCAGCTGTGGCTGCTACGGCTGTTTCTCCCTTAGGTCAAGAATTTCTGGCCTCATGGGGCATATTGCATTTTCTTTCTTCTTCTCTGCTTGTGGTGAGGTTCTCTCTTTCTGCTACTGGATCAACTCAATTTAATGACAAGACTAGCCAATGCCCTGTAGATAGGTTAACATGCCTATCCACATATTCCCACCCATCTACATGGCAAAGTCAGAAAATAGCTAGGGAAGCTATTTTGAGTAATAAACCCTTTAAACTACTCATTCAGGCAAAATATTGTTTAAGATCATCCCAAAATATCTAGAGGAATACATTAATAGAGAACTGTCAGAAGTTCAAGCTGGGTTTAGAAGAAGCTGTGGCACCAGGGATATCATTGCTGATGTCTGATGGATCCTGGATGAAAGCAGATAATACAAGCTGAATGCCTGTTTATGATTTACTGAGTATGCAAAGGCTTTTGACTGTGTGGATCATACATAATTAACTATGGTTAGCATTGAGAAGAATGGGAATCCCAGAATACTTAGTTGTACTCATGTGAAACCTGTATCTAGACCAAGAAGCTATCATCTGAACAGAGCAAGGGAACACCGCTGTTGTTAGGTGCACAGTACCTAATGAATCCTATGAACAACGTAGCAACCCTATGAACAGCAGATCTGAACCCTGTCCTATCCTGTGCCATCTGCATCATCTCTGACATATTTGAGCCCATTATTGTTGCAGTCACTGTATCAATCTATTTCATTGATTATCTTCCTCTCTTTGGCTGAACCTCTATCTCTCTGAGCATGATGTCGCTTTCCAAGGAACGGCCTCTCCTTGTAACATGCCCAAAGAATGTGAGATGAAGCTGCCTTTGAAGTATACTCAGGCTGCACTTTCCCCAAGACATATCTGGTTGTTCTTTTGTCGGTCCATGAAATATTCAGTGCTCTTCACCAACATCACAAGTCAAAGGCATCAATTCTTATTCCATTCTTATTTACTGTCCAGCCCTCAAATGCACAAAAAGTGATTGAAAAGGCTATGGTCTGAATCAGATTTATCCTAGTCTCTTTAGTCTTAGGGAATACTACATGGTTTAAGATCAGGGAATTGTGCATCAGGGTTGTATCTTGTCTCCATACCTATTTAATCTGTATGTTAAGCAAATAATTTGAGAACCTGGACCCTATGAAGACTACTGGGACATCAGGATTGGAGGAAGACTCACCAACAACTTCTGTTATGCAAATGATACATTATTGCTTGCTGAAAATGAGGAACACTTGAAGCACCTGCTGCAGAAGTTCAAAGACTACAGACTTCGATATACTTCTCAACATCATGAAAACAAAAATTCTTATCACTGGACCTATAGGTTAACATCATGATGTAGAAAGATTGAAACTGTCAATAACTTCATCTTACTTGGACCCACAATCAATACACTTGGTATCAACAGTCAGAAGATCAGGAGATGAATAGCATTGGAAAAAAATGTGCAGTCAGGGAGCTTTCCAAATTACTGGGGAGCAGTGATGTTAGTTTGAGGACTAATTCAAGGTTGGTTCAAGCAATGGTCTTTTCAATCACTTGCTATGCATCTGAGAGTTGGACAATGAATAAGTATGACAGTAGACTTGATGTATTTGAGCTGTGGTGTCTCATAAAAGAATTGAATATTCCATGGTTTGCCAAAAGAGCAAATAGGTGTTTTGAGAAAGTATAACCAGAATGCTCCTTAGAGGCAAAGATGACATTTTCATCTCATATACTTTGAGCATGTTGTTAGGAGAGAGTATTCCTTGGAAAGGGACATCATGCTTGGAAAAGTAGAGGGTCAACAGAAGTGAGGAAGACCCTTAACCAGATGGATTGACACAGTGACTACAATGAGCTCGAGTGTGTCATAGTTGATCAGGATAGTACAGGGTTCAGATCAGTTGTTCATAGAGCCACAATGAGTTGTACTCACTAAAGGTGGCAACAGGACAATGTTTCCCACAAAACCTCTAGGGGAAGACCCTGTCTTGTCTTGTCCAGTTTATGATAGGCCCCCGGCATTTCTTACCTGCAGCTTTGACATCATTCCATCTCTGCCTTTAAGAGTTTTCCCCTCTGTGTGTTTGTCTGTGTCTCCTCTTCTCTTTTATAGGATACCATTCATATTGGAGGCAGCTCTGGTTGGCTAGTCTGTAGAGTTGCTAAGCTAAAGACTGAACTGATGAACCCATCAGCTGCTCCTTGGAAGAAAGAAAGGCAATCTCTTGCTTGATTTATAGGCCGGGAAATCTGTTGGAGGATCAGCTGTGAGTCAGAACCACTGGATGATAGAGAAAGCAATTCATATTGGTTTAGGTCAGTGACTTCAGCAATGGGCTCTAGTGTGTCAGAGATGATGATGATGGCACAGGACAGGGCAGGGTTCAGGTCAGCTGTTCATAGAGTCTCTGTGAGTTTTACTTGACTTGATGACACCTAACAACAGCAACAACAACACTAAACTTCCTCCTGTTAAGGGCTGTCGAGTAGACTATGACTCATAGTGACCCTGTGAACAATAGATTGGCACCCTGCCTGATCCTGCACCATCTTGACCCTCTCAGACATAACCTGAGTCCATCATCCGGGTCACTGTGTCAATTCAGGCCATTGAGGATCTTCCTTCACATTCCCTAAGAATATCTTTCAAAGATTCTACTTCAAAATATCACATTCACAGGAACAAAAAATTGGGATTTCAACATATTTCTTTGAGGGACAAAATCCAACCCATAACAGGGGCCATCACATCTACTTTAGTCCCCTAGATCTGTGCCTGAATCTTCCAAAATGGAAAAACTACCATGGAGGTCTGTGTTAGCTCAATGGGGGAATCCATTTGACTTAGGAAGAAATCCTTGGTCCTCTCAAAGTGTGTATTACCTGCCAGTAGCATGAGCCTATGACTCAAGGTGAACTAAGCACAGTAACTTGGGGACCTGTCTGGTTCTCAGATGTCAGATTGGTTGTAGTGAATTCTAACTGCTGTGGTTGTGCTTAGGGATTATAGGGTGACTGTGTGGGTCCACCTACCAGGTAGAACCCAGACTTTTTTGTATTTTTTTTAATTGTGATTTTAGTGAAAATTTACAAAGAAGTTGATTTTTCACACTTAGCTGGCAGGAGAGAAACTATTATTATAAAAGGTGGTTTTCTCAGG